GTGAAGACATTTAAAAACAACCTCAGTCTTGAGTTGGGTTTGACTCAACTTGAAGGTCAGTGTGCTTTCGGATGAGTTGCCAATTGTTGGAGAATTTGGACTCTTGACTTCTTGTCACTGGCTGAAGGGCTAATTTCATTCATGTCATTTTGGTTGCTATCAAGCTCATTCTTCTGTAATTGTTTTATTAGGTGCTTTTTCTCATTGAAAACAGGTAGAGTGGCCGAGCGGTCTAAGGCGCTGGATTAAGGCTCCAGTCTCTCAGGAGGCGTGGGTTCAAATCCCACCACTGCCATTATATATACAAGAACCAAGTGATATTTGGAAACCACACCCAACCTGAAGACAGTGTCATGAAACCTCAGTCTTGAGTTGGGTTTGACTCAACTTGAAGGTCAGTGTGCTTTGGGATGAGTTGCCAATTGTTGGAGAATTTGGACTCTTGACTTCTTGTCACTGGCTGAAGGGCTAATTTGATTTATGTCATTTTGGTTGCCATCAAGCTCATTCTTATTTTTTTCTATTAGGTGCATTTTCTCATTGAGAAAAGGTAGTGTGGCCGAGCAGTCTAATGGCGCGTTTCCACTACAGCCCGCAGCCCGGTTTAAGAGGGCTGTGACGTCAGCGGCCCGTTTGTGGTTGCGTTTCCACTTGGCCTAGTACCGGCCGGCGGGTCCTAATTCACAGTTTTTCTGGCCTCATAAAATCGTGGGGCCAGGGCCAGAGACAACCGGGCTGAGTTTGTGACGTCAACGCTCTCGGCTGCTGATTGGTCGGAGAGAATCGTTACAATCTGCGCGCTAGATAATCCATTTTTACAAACAGCATTTTTGTTAACAGAGGAGCTACAACAATGGCAAAGAAAAGCACACCATGGTCGGTCGAGGAAGTGACGACGTCCATTATATTGCAGATGATAAGGTCCAGCGGGTGCTCGACGGGACAACTCGCAATATCAAAGTCTTTCAGGAGGTCTCTACACAGACACTGGCGTTACTGGAGTCTGCATGGTACGTTTTTGCTAACGCTCTGTTATTTGCTTGAAAGCTTTGTGTCCCTGCTTTGTGTCCCTATCTGTTCTAAAGCTCACTTCTAACAAATAAGTCTATTTTATCCTTACATTTATGTTCGACAACCCATGATTTTATGGAGCCCCGAAGGCTAGCTAGGCAGATAGCATTAGCGAGAGCTATTGTTTGCTAACACCATATGTGCCATTGTTTACGTTCAGTTTGTCTTTTCTATAGTTGTTGTTGCTATTTATAGTATTGTGCTGCAGTAGTTTGTGGAATTTACAAGTCATGTTTCTGTTCTAGATGATTACATTGGGACTAGCGAGGAGGAACAGTTCCGAACAACGTCCTCTGCATCAACAGCACAAACCGAGGAGGAGACGATCTGGCCCTGCAGGAACGGCAACTGGCCCAGCAGAATCAATGCCATGTCTTATCTTATTGCTTGTTGATAAATAATTGCACCCACCAGCGATCACACAGAAAGATGGCATCATCTAGGCGTCCCTCTGCAGTCAGAAATATCATAAACACCATCGTCCACAAAGCACTGTACAGGGGTTTATGGATTTAAGAGAATATTTATCACAGTGAAACCTTTATCATCTGTTGCAATTAAAGCAAATAAGAGAATAAATACTTGGTTAAATAATACATTTTAACTCTTTAGCAGGACAACTCTGCATACTGTTTGAAATTGAGTTTGCTAGCTTGAGGTCCTCCTCTAAAACATAACATTACATAATGGTATTAAGAATACATGATAAATACATGTAGTAAAAATTACTCAATTGTAATACCCTCGTTGTGCTAGACTCAAACACATTGCTTATATATTTCAAAGAGAAGAGAACAAAATAAAACACCTATACAAAGAGAGCGGTGCACAGCGCTTAATATTTACTTGCACTATATTTCTGTTGATCTGGGTTATTGTGTTGCACTGTTGGAGGAGCCTGTGACCTAAGATGTTCATTGTCATAACTACACTAGCTATGTTCGTATGACAAAATAAAAAACCTTGAACCTTGAGGCTGTGTCTTTCAGACAAACCATCATAATCATATTATTTTATGCTGTGGATACTTTAGCCTCCATCCATGTTAACAATTTTTTAAACTTGCATTTATGAATATAGTTCTGTTGTGTTTTACACTTTTGTATTTATGTTTATAGTTTGCTTTGATATTTGCTTAATTTATTAGATTATTATTATTATGGGGGCAGTACTGGTGCTTGAAATTCAAATATTTACTAAATAGTCAATTCTGATAACATTTTTTTGGTTTAAATAATTTGACAAACACATGTATGTGAAAAAGAAAAGATGTATTTATGTTCAATACAATGAATATTTAGGTATTACATTATACATTCTAGGTATTCAGGTAGCGCATCAGACCCAAGTAACATGTAATGTAATGTTGACTAACTTATAACGAGCAAAACATTCCGGTTTTTAACATATATTATACAATTCCGCCTTTTCATTTTATACACAAATGTCGCTTCCTCACAATGTCCTCAGTATTTATTGCTTTTATCAATGAATAAAAATGTATTACATTTTGCAAACATGAAAAAACACATCAGTTTTACACATTTTTAAACACCTTAATTCCTGAATGACAACTTCGCTGTTTTCTGTTCATAATGCCCTCTTTTGAATTCATGTAATGAACGTAGGTTTTCCTCAGGCATCCTGAAGTTCTCCACCCACTGAGTGTGTGAAAGATGGAACAATCACATTCCACCACTCGGTAGCTCGGTCGGTAACTTCTGAAATACACAAACAAAAGCATACATATTTTAATACGTAAAAGTGGTAGCTACAATTAATTAAATACTTGAAATACTTTGGTCGTATAGGGAGCGTGAGCCTAAACACATTGCTAGTTAGCGAACGTTAGCTTACCAAGTAGCATTGTAGTTAGTAGTGATTCGAGTCGTCCTGTAGTCTCTGCGGCGTAGGAGGACTGCCCGAACTCTCGCGTCAGCTTCTTCTACACGTCGCCTCTTTCGAAACAACTCTTGTCTATTTCTTGTGATAATAAACCACACAGCAAAAAACAAGCAAACGATCGCTTTCACATCTTCACATCTTCACATCCTCCATTGTTGTGTCGCATTGAAGATGACGTCACGGCAGTTTTAAGCAGCGTCGCTCCGCCTATACTGCGTTACTATAGATACTACCCCAGTTCCTAAACTGTAATGGAAACGCGCCATAAAGTGAGCTGGTCCTAACGAGGCCAATCGCGGCCCAGCCATACCGAGCGGGGCCGAGCGAGGCCGTATAGTGGAAACGCGGCATAAGGCGTTGGATTAAGGCTCCAGTCTCTGAGGAGGCGTGGGTTCAAATCCCACCACTGCCATTATATATACAAGAACCAAGTGATATTTGGAAACCACACCCAACCTGAAGACAGTGTCATAAAACCTCAGTCTTGAGTTGGGTTTGACTCAACTTGAAGGTCAGTGTGCTTTGGGATGAGTTGCCAATTGTTGGAGAATTTGGACTCTTGACTTCTTGTCACTGGCTGAAGGGCTAATTTCATTTATGTCATTTTGGTTGCTATCAAGCTCATTCTTCTGTAATTGTTTTATTAGGTGCATTTTCTCATTGAAAACAGGTACTGTGGCCGAGCGGTCTAAGGCGCTGGATTAAGGCTCCAGTCTCTCAGGAGGCGTGGGTTCAAATCCCACCACTGCCATTATATATACAAGAATCAAGTGATATTTGGAAATCACACCTAACCTGAAGACAGTCTAAAAAAACCTCATTCTTGAGTTGGCTGTGAAGACATTTAAAAACAACCTCAGTCTTGACTTGGGTTTGACTCAACTTGAAGGTCAGTGTGCTTTGGGATCAGTTGGAGAATTTGGACTCTTGACTTCTTGTCACTGGCTGAAGGGCTAATTTGACTTATGTAATTTTGGTTGCTATCAAGCTCATTCCTCTGTAATTGTTTTATTAGGTGCATTTTCTCATTGAAAACAGGTAGTGTGGCCGAGCGGTCTAAGGCGCTGGATTTAGGCTCCAGTCTCTCAGGAGGCGTGGGTTCAAATCCCACCACTGCCATTATATTTGGAAACCACACCCAACCAGAAGACAGTGTCATAAAACCTCAGTCTTGAGTTGAGTGTGACTCAACTTGAAGGTCAGTGTGCTTTGGGATGAGTTGCCAATTGTTGGAGAATTTGGACTCTTGACTTCTTGTCACTGGCTGAAGGGCTAATTTCATTTATGTCATTTTGGTTGCTATCAAGCTCATTCTTCTTCTTTTTCTTTATTAAGTGCATTTTCTGCTTGAAAACAGGTAGTGTGGCCGAGCGGTCTAAGGCGCTGGATTAAGGCTCCAGTCTCTCAGGAGGCGAGTGTTCAAATCCCACCACTGCCATTATATATACAAGAATCAAGTGATATTTGGAAACCACATCCAACCTGAAGACAGTCTAGTAAAACCTCCGTCTTGATTTGGGTGTGACTCAACTTGAAGGTCAGTGTGCTTTGGGATGAGTTGCCAATTTTTGGAGAATTTGGACTATTGACTTCTTGTCACTGGCCGAAGGGCTAATTTCATTTATGTCATTTTGGTTGCTATCAAGCTCATTCTTCTGTAATTCTTTAATTAGGTGCATTTTCTGCTTGAAAACAGGTAGTGTGGCCGAGCGGTCTAAGGCGCTGGATTAAGGCTCCAGTCTCTCAGGAGGCGTGGGTTCAAATCCCACCACTGCCATTATATATACATTAATCAAGTGATATTTGGAAACCACACCCAACCTGAAGACAGTGTCATGAAACCTCAGTCTTGAGTTGGGTTTGACTCAACTTGATGGTCAGTGTGCTTTGGGATGAGTTGGAGAATTTGGACTCTTGACTTCTTGTCACTGGCCGAAGGGCTAATTTCGTTTATGTCATTTTGGTTGTTATCAAGCTCATTCTTCTGTAATTCTTTAATTAGGTGCATTTTCTGCTTGACAACAGGTAGTGTGGCCGAGCGGTCTAAGGCGCTGGATTAAGGCTCCAGTCTCTCAGGAGGCGTGGGTTTCAAATCCCACCACTGCCATTATATATACAAGAATCAAGTGATATTTGGAAACCACATCCAACCTGAAGACAGTCTAGTAAAACCTCCGTCTTGATTTGGGTGTGACTCAACTTGAAGGTCAGTGTGCTTTGGGATGAGTTGCCAATTTTTGGAGAATTTGGACTATTGACTTCTTGTCACTGGCCGAAGGGCTAATTTCATTTATGTCATTTTGGTTGCTATCAAGCTCATTCTTCTGTAATTCTTTAATTAGGTGCATTTTCTGCTTGAAAACAGGTAGTGTGGCCGAGCGGTCTAAGGCGCTGGATTAAGGCTCCAGTCTCTCAGGAGGCGTGGGTTCAAATCCCACCACTGCCATTATATATACATTAATCAAGTGATATTTGGAAACCACACCCAACCTGAAGACAGTGTCATCAAACCTCAGTCTTGAGTTGGGTGTGACTCAACTTGAAGGTCAGTGTGCTTTGGGATGAGTTGCCAATTGTTGGAGAATTTGGACTCTTGACTTCTTGTCACTGGCTGAAGGGCTAATTTGATTTATGTCATTTTGGTTGCCATCAAGCTCATTCTTATTTGTTTCTATTAGGTGCATTTTCTCATTGAGAAAAGGTAGTGTGGCCGAGCAGTCTAAGGCGCTGGATTTAGGCTCCAGTCTCTCAGGAGGCGTGGGTTCAAATCCCACCACTGCCATTATATTTGGAAACCACACCCAACCTGAAGACAGTGTCATGAAACCTCAGTCTTGAGTTGGGTTTGACTCAACTTGAAGGTCAGTGTGCTTTGGGATGAGTTGGCAATTGTTGGAGAATTTGGACTCTTGACTTCTTGTCACTGGCCGAACGGCTAATTTCGTTTATGTCATTTTGGTTGTTATCAAGCTCATTCTTCTGTAATTCTTTAATTAGGTGCATTTTCTGCTTGAAAACAGGTAGTGTGGCCGAGCGGTCTAAGGCGCTGGATTAAGGCTCCAGTCTCTCAGGAGGCGTGGGTTCAAATCCCACCACTGCCATTATATATACAAGAATCAAGTGATATTTGGAAACCACATCCAACCTGAAGACAGTCTAGTAAAACCTCCGTCTTGATTTGGGTGTGACTCAACTTGAAGATCAGTGTGCTTTGGGATGAGTTGCCAATTTTTGGAGAATTTGGACTCTTGACTTCTTGTCACTGGCTGAAGGGCTAATTTGACTTATGTAATTTTGGTTGCTATCAAGCTCATTCTTCTGTAATTGTTTTATTAGGTGCATTTTCTCATTGAAAACAGGTAGTGTGGCCGAGCGGTCTAAGGCGCTGGATTAAGGCTCCAGTCTCTCAGGAGGCGTGGGTTCAAATCCCACCACTGCCATTATATTTGGAAACCACACCCAACCTGAAGACAGTGTCATAAAACCTCAGTCTTGAGTTGAGTGTGACTCAACTTGAAGGTCAGTGTGCTTTGCGATGAGTTGCCAATTGTTGGAGAATTTGGACTCTTGACTTCTTGTCACTGGCTGAAGGGCTAATTTCATTCATGTCATTTTGGTTGCTATCAAGCTCATTCTTCTGTAATTCTTTAATTAGGTGCATTTTCTCATTGAAAACAGGTAGTGTGGCCGAGCGGTCTAAGGCGCTGGATTAAGGCTCCAGTCTCTCAGGAGGCGTGAGTTCAAATCCCACCACTGCCATTATATATACATTAATCAAGTGATATTTGGAAACCACACCCAACCTGAAGACAGTGTCATCAAACCTCAGTCTTGAGTTGGGTTTGACTAAACTTGAAGGTCAGTGTGCTTTGGGATGAGTTGCCAATTGTTGGAGAATTTGGACTCTTGACTTCTTGTCACTGGCCGAAGGGCTAATTTCATTTATGTCATTTTGGTTGCTATCAAGCTCATTCTTCTTTTTTTCTATTAGGTGCATTTTCTCATTGAAAACAGGTAGTGTGGCCGAGCGGTCTAAGGCGCTGGATTAGGCTCCAGTCTCTCAGGAGGCGTGGGTTCAAATCCCACCACTGCCATTATATATACAAGAATCAAGTGATATTTGGAAACCACATCCAACCTGAAGACAGTCTAGGAAAACCTCCGTCTTGATTTGGGTGTGACTCAACTTGAAGGTCAGTGTGCTTTGGGATGAGTTGCCAATTGTTGGAGAATTTGGACTCTTGACTTCTTGTCACTGGCCGAAGGGCTAATTTCAGTTTATGTCATTTTGGTTGCTATCAAAGCTCATTCTTCTGTAATTCTTTAATTAGGTGCATTTTTGCTTGAAAAACAGGTAGTGTGGCCGAGCGGTCTAAGGCGCTGGATTAAGGCTCCAGTCTCTCAGGAGGCGTGGGTTCAAATCCCACCACTGCCATTATATATACATTAATCAAGTGATATTTGGAAACCACACCCAACCCTGAAGACAGGTCATAAAAACCTCAGTCTTGAGTTGGGTTTGACTCAACTTGAAGGTCAGTGTGCTTTGGGATGAGTTGCCAATTGTTGGAGAATTTGGACTCTTGACTTCTTGTCACTGGCCGAAGGGGCTAATTTCATTTATGTCATTTTGGTTGCTATCAAGCTCATTCTTCTTTATTTCTTCTATTAGGTGCATTTTCTCATTGAAAACAGGTAGTGTGGCCGAGCGGTCTAAGGCGCTGGATTAAGGCTCCAGTCTCTCAGGAGGCGTGGGTTCAAATCCCACCACTGCCATTATATATACAAGAATCAAGTGATATTTGGAAACCACATCCAACCTGAAGACAGTCTAGGAAAACCTCCGTCTTGATTTGGGTGTGACTCAACTTGAAGGTCAGTGTGCTTTGGGATGAGTTGCCAATTGTTGGAGAATTTGGACTCTTGACTTCTTGTCACTGGCCGAAGGGCTAATTTCGTTTATGTCATTTTGGTTGCTATCAAACTCATTCTTCTGTAATTCTTTAATTAGGTGCATTTTTTGCTTGAAAACAGGTAGTGTGGCCGAGCGGTCTAAGGCGCTGGATTAAGGCTCCAGTCTCTCAGGAGGCGTGGGTTCAAATCCCACCACTGCCATTATATATACATTAATCAAGTGATATTTGGAAACCACACCCAACCCGAAGACAGTCTAAAAAACCCTCAGTCTTGAGTTGGGTGTGAAGACATTTAAAAAAAACCTCAGTCTTGATTTGGGTGTGTCACTGGCTGAAAGGGCTAATTTCATTTATGTCATTTTGGTTGCTATCAAGCTCATTCTTCTGTAATTCTTTAATTAGGTGCATTTTCTGCTTGAAAACAGGTAGTGTGGCCGAGCGGTCTAAGGCGCTGGATTAAGGCTCCAGTCTCTCAGGAGGCGTGGGTTCAAATCCCACCACTGCCATTATATATACAAGAATCAAGTGATATTTGGAAACCACATCCAACCTGAAGACAGTCTAGGAAAACCTCCGTCTTGATTTGGGTGTGACTCAACTTGAAGGTCAGTGTGCTTTGGGATGAGTTGCCAATTGTTGGAGAATTTGGACTCTTGACTTCTTGTCACTGGCTGAAGGGTTAATTTGATTTATGTCATTTTGGTTGCCATCAAGCTCATTCTTATTTTTTTCTATTAGGTGCATTTTCTCATTGAGAAAAGGTAGTGTGGCCGAGCAGTCTAATGGCGCGTTTCCACTACAGCCCGCAGCCCGGTTTAAGAGGGCTGTGACGTCAGCGGCCCGTTTGTGGTTGCGTTTCCACTTGGCCTAGTACCGGCCGGCGGGTCCTAATTCACAGTTTTTCTGGCCTCATAAAATCGTGGGGCCAGGGCCAGAGACAACCGGGCTGAGTTTGTGACGTCAACGCTCTCGGCTGCTGATTGGTCGGAGAGAATCGTCACAATCTGCGCGCTAGATAATCCATTTTTACAAACAGCATTTTTGTTAACAGAGGAGCTACAACAATGGCAAAGAAAAGCACACCATGGTCAGTCGAGGAAGTGACGACGTCCATTATATTGCAGATGATAAGGTCCAGCGGGTGCTCGACGGGACAACTCGCAATATCAAAGTCTTTCAGGAGGTCTCTACACAGACACTGGACTCTCCAACGGCGTTACTGGAGTCTGCATGGTACGTTTTTGCTAACGCTCTGTTATTTGCTTGAAAGCTTTGTGTCCCTGCTTTGTGTCCCTGCTTGTGTCCCTATCTGTTCTAAAGCTCACTTCTAACAAATAAGTCTATTTTATCCTTACATTTATGTTCGACAACCCATGATTTATGGAGCCCCGAAGGCTAGCTAGGCAGATAGCATTAGCGAGAGCTATTGTTTGCTAACACCATATGTGCCATTGTTTACGTTCAGTTTGTCTTTTCTATAGTTGTTGTTGCTATTTATAGTATTGTGCTGCAGTAGTTTGTGGAATTTACAAGTCATGTTTCTGTTCTAGATGATTACATTGGGACTAGCGAGGAGGAACAGTTCCGAACAACGTCCTCTGCATCAACAGCACAAACCGAGGAGGAGACGATCTGGCCCTGCAGGAACGGCAACTGGCCCAGCAGAATCAATGCCATGTCTTATCTTATTGCTTGTTGATAAATAATTGCACCCACCAGCGATCACACAGAAAGATGGCATCATCTAGGCGTCCCTCTGCAGTCAGAAATATCATAAACACCATCGTCCACAAAGCACTGGACAGGGGTTTATGGATTTAAGAGAATATTATCACAGTGAAACCTTTATCATCTGTTGCAATTAAAGCAAATAAGAGAATAAATACTTGGTTAAATAATACATTTTAACTCTTTAGCAGGACAACTCTGCATACTGTTTGAAATTGAGTTTGCTAGCTTGAGGTCCTCCTCTAAAACATAACATTACATATTTAATGGTATTAAGAATACATGATAAATACATGTAGTAAAAATTACTCAATTGTAATACCCTCGTTGTGCTAGACTCAAACACATTGCTTATATATTTCAAAGAGAAGAGAACAAAAGAAAACACCTATACAAAGAGAGCGGTGCACAGCGCTTAATATTTACTTGCACTATATTTCTGTTGATCTGGGTTATTGTGTTG